TTGAAGACATTCAACGACATAACCATCCAAGTTGATTGTTTATGCCGAAGACAGTCAAATTTTTATGCCGAAGACGGTCAAATGTTTATGCTGAAGACATTCAACGGCATAAACATCCAAGTTGAATGGTTATGCCGAAGACATTCAACGCCATAAAAATCCAAGTTGATTTAGTTTATGTCGAAGACGGTCAAATGTTTATGCCGAAGACATTCAACGGCATAAACATCCAAGTTGAATGGTTATACCGAAGACATTCAACGCCATAACAATCCAAGTTGATTTAGTTTATGCCGAAGAGAGTAAAATATTTATGCCGAAGATATTCAACGGCATGACCATCCAAGTTGAATGTTTATGCCGAAGACAGTCAAATGTTTATGCCGAAGACATTCAACGGCATAAACATCCAAGTTGAATAGTTATGACGAAGACATTCAACGTCATTACTATCCAAGATGAAGACATTCAACGGCATAACCATCCAAGTTGAATGTTTATGCCGAAGACAGTCAAATGTTTATGCCGAAGACAGTCAAATGTTTATGCCGAAGACATTCAACGGCATATAATTAAACATCCAAGTTGAATGGTTATGCCGAAGACATATTCAACGTCATAACTATCCAACTTGAAGATCAAAAACTTACTCGAACCGTCCTGACCGCGTAGCTCAGTTGGAAGAGCATTGGGCTAGTATTCCAAAGGTCGTAGGTTCGAATCCCACCGTGGCCGGGCATATTTTTCAAGCTCGCCCGGTGTGGATATGCACTCAGAGTAACACCACAAATATCAACTTGAAGATATTCAACGGCATAACCATCCAAGTCAAATGTTTATGCCGAAGACAGTCAAATGTTTATGCCGAAGACATTCAATTAACGGCATAAACATCCAAGTTGAATGGTTATGTCGCAGACATTCAACGCCATAACAATCCAAGTTTAATTAGTTTATGCCGAAGAGAGTCAAATATTTATGCCGAAGATATTTAACGGCACTTACTAGTGCATCCATGCAAGTTGAATGGTTATACCGAAGACAGTCAACTGTCTTCCCAGTTGAATGGTTATGCCGAAGACATTCATCGGTATAACTATCTGTCTATCCATGTTGAAGACATTCAACGACATAACTATCCAAGGTGAAGACAGTCAACGGCATAACCATCCAAGTCAAATGTTTATGCCGAAGACGGTCAAATGTTTATGCCGAAGACATTCAACGCCATAACAATCCAAGTTGAATTAGTTTATGCCGAAGAGAGTCAAATATTTATGCCGAAGACATTCGACGGCATAAACATGCATCCAAGTTGAATGGTTATGCCGAAGACATTCTGCGTCATAACTATCCAAGCTGAAGACATTCAACGACATAACCATCCAAGTTGAATGTTTATGCCGAAGACGGTATAATGTTTATGCCGAAGACATTCAACGCCATAACAATCCAAGTTGAATTAGTTTATGCCGAAGAGAGTCGAATATTTATGCCGAGCCCGAAGATATTCAACGGCATAACCATCCAAGTTGAATGATTATGCCGGAGACATTCAACGGCATAACTATCCAAGTTGAAGACATTCAATGGCATAACTGTCCAAGGTGAAGACATTCAACGGCATAACCATTCAAGTTGAAGACATTCAACGGCATAACTATCCAAGTTGAAAACATTCAATGGCATAACCATCCAAGTTGAAGACATTCAACGGCATAACTATCCAAGTTGAAAACATTCAATGGCATAACCATCCAAGTTGAAGACATTCAACGGCATAACCATTCAACGGCATAACCATCCAAGTTGAAGACATTCAACGGCATAACTATCCAAGTTGAAAACATTCAATGGCATAACCGTCCAAGTTGAAGACATTCAACGGCATAACCATTCAACGGCATAACCATCCAAGTTGAATAGTTGTGCCGAAGACAGTTGACTGTCTTCGGCATTAACCATCCAAGTTGAATGGTTATGCCGATGACATTCAGCGGCATAACCATCCAATATTCTAAGGCGTCGAATTACAAGTTGAATGGTAATACCGGTAATATTAAAAGTATATCCGGGCAACTTTTCAATTCACGAAATACAAAAGGATGTTTGAATCTTTCTGAATTCAGTGTTTAAAATGTCGTTGGGAAGAGGGGGGGGGGGGGGGGGGGCATCAATCCAGATGGATATCATGGATATTGGAGCTTCATAGACTGCGCATGTTTCACCTTGTTGGGCAGTTAATTGGGACGTATCATTTAGATGTATGTGTCTGTCAATATGTGCACACATGCTTTTGCTTCAGCATGCTTGAGTTGTGCTGTTACTGCGGATTCAGGAAGACTGTTTAATGTGAACAATTACTGTGTGTCTTAAGGGGCCCCG